AATTTTAATTCAAGAAAATTGTATCAATGCTTTGAAGAGTGAAACATTGATGACTTCAGGGCTTACACAGGTACAGAAGACCAAGATGGTGGATCAGGCCAAGAATGCCATTATCTTGTGTATCGGGGATAAAGTTCTAAGAGATGTTATCAGGGAGCAAACTACGGTTGCTATGTGGGAAAAACTTGAATCATTGTATATGACAAAGTCTTTGGATCACAGGTTTTATCTGAAACAACAAATTTATTCATTCTGAATGGTGGAGAACAAATCCATAGTTGAGTAGCTCACATAATTTCACAAGACTATCGATGATCTTGAGAGTATTGAAGTGAAGATTGATGATGAGGACAAGGCTTTGCTCCTGTTGAGTTCATTACCCAAATCCTTTGAGCATTTTAAGGATGCCCTTCTTTATGGTAAGGAAGGTGCTATTACTTTGGATGAAGTCCAGATGGCGGTGAAATCCAAAGAATTTTCAAAGTCAAAAGATTTGAAGATTGAACATAGTGGTGAATGCTTAAATATGTAAAGAGGAAGAGGTGAGCATAAAGGGATGTCCAAATCAAAGAGGTCTGACAAGTCAAAGGTAACATGTTTTAATTGTCAGAAAATCAGTCACTTTAAAAGGGTTTGTCCTGAAAGAAAGGTCAATGAAGATTCTGTTCAAGCTGTAGTTACATTGGGTAAGGAAAGTTATGAGGATGCTGAAGCACTAGTAGTATCGAGTTTGGAAACTGAAGATAGTTGGGTCTCAGGTTGCTCTTATCACATGTGTCCAAGAATAGAATACTTTGAAACTTTGAAGATGGCGCAAGGTGGAGTAGTTCGCCTTGGAAATAATAAGGCATGCAAGTTTCATGGTATTAGTACAGTCAGATTTAAAATGTTTAATGATCGTGAACTTCTTATTCACAATGTGAGGTATATTCCAGAACTCAAGCGAAATTTGTTATCTATAAGCATGTTTGATGATCTAGGCTATTGTACTAGAGTTGAACGTGGAATGTTGAAGATTTCGCGTGATGAATTGATTATTGCTAAAGGGTCTAAAGTATGTGGTCTATATATTTTAGAAGGTTCAAATGTTATTATTCATTCATAGTTAACTAGTGAAGACTTTCATGACAAGGAAAAGCTATGAGATTTGAATTTAAGGCATTAGGAATTCCTTGAGAAAGTTTCAGAGGAGTACAATGAATTTTGTAGAAATCAAGGGATAAAAATTCATGTTACCGCTGAGTTGTTATTGAGTTTTTGGGGAAGAGCTGAGGTTAAAACAACTTACTTGGTTGGTAGAGAATTTCTTCAAAAGAAGAATAGTGAAAACCAAGGGAGAAACCTGGGAGAAACTATAACGGAGAAAACTCAGTTTGAGGTGAAGTTTCCTACTATGGATGCTAGCAGTAGTGAGGGAACGGTTACAGAAATCTCTGATTATCATTTGACTCATGATGAGGTAAGGAGGGTTATTGTAGCATCTCAAAGGGACGGTTATGCTAGCCTTGGATATTATGTTTTTAATGTGGCTGAAGGACTGTAAAATAAAAGAAGAAAAATCTTTAGGGAGGCATTTGAAAACAGGTAGAGTCAAGGGTGGTTGAAAAATCATACTTGTAGGCTTGTTAAATTACCTAGGCAGAAAAGGGTAATTGGGAACAAGTGGATTCAAGTTGCGAGATCAAGATTCAAGGGTTGCTTGAATTTGATCAAAGTGATTGATTAGAATTTCAACTTGGTAGAGAGCAACAATGTTGTTGATTGATATCAACATGGTTTAAAGTTAAGGTGGAGATTGTTGTAAATGTGCCTTAAAACCCTTGTTGATGAAGAGAAAGAAAACATATTTTGGAGATTGCATTTACCGTGAAAAATCAGAAGTTTTAGAAAGTCTGACAAAAAGTAAAAAAAATTAATAATCGGTCGGTGAATAGTACTATATGTACGGATGAATAATGACGTCCGTACGATGAATAATATTTTTGAGTTTTTGAGCTTTTTTTATTCGATCCATGGATCCATGTGATTTTGAGCTTTGCTTGTTAGGTATTTTCTATTATAAATATGTATCTCTTATATGTTTGGTGTGTGACTATCTTAGAGTTTTCACCAATAAGAGATACAAGGGTTTAAAGGTATAGGGTTTCAGCTATGCACAAAGAAAACTTTGGATTACACCTTGGGTTATTCTTGGGTGCCTTCGGGGTTGTTCTTGGGAACCTGAAGGTGAATGCTATTTTCTTGTAACTCATTTGTAATCTCTTGTAACAATTTTCTGAGTATAGTGAATTAGAGAGTTGCTCTCTCCTCCAGAGTAGATCGTTTGATTGAATTGGGTAAATAAACCTTCGATTTTTTCTTACCTTATTTTGTTATATTATCTGTGTATGAATCATTATTGCTGAAGACCATTTATTTTGGTTGCTATTGTTCTTTGCCTCACAAATTAATTGAATTTTGTCGTAATTCACAATAAGATTCACAACATCAACCACATTGTCAAAGAAATACTTTGCTCAAACTTTAAACAACTCTAACAATCTTCTATCAAAAGTATCCTTCAATATTGTTTGAAGGGTGATTCAATCTCCATTAAATTCTCTAAACAAAAATATTTTAAGCGATTGGAGGATTTCAAAACAACTTACACCAAAGATTGATTTTGAAAAAAAGGTGAGAAGTCCATACTGTCAAAAAATTTCAAAACTCTAAAGTCACTTTGGAAATCAATTTTAAAGTAGAAGTTAATTTCAATATGAAATGATTTTTTTTTATTCTCATTGCTAGATGACTTACAATTAGTTTGGATGGCCGGTACTTGGTATTTTAAAATTAGAATTCTTTGCCTGTCACAATAAGTTGTTAAAAAATAAAACCCTAGATATTATTATGAAGAAATACTCTGACAAGTAGCAATGAATCCACAATGGATATAAATTTAAATGAAGTCAATATTTTGAGAATGTTAATACCAACTATGAAAATACAAATGATTTTATTCTGGTTGAGCTTAATGGAAATATGACTATAAGTATGATGGTTCAAGTTCAACATTTTGATGAGGAGTACAATGACAGAGAAAATTTCACAAATGAAAATACTCCAAGTTTAAAAAATTATAAATTTCTAGATAAAATGTAGGAAAATAACCATTGATGGTTGTTTCAAATATTTCTTCCGTGGTCCTTCGAGACATGGAATTTGTGAGAAAATTTTAGGCCAACATGACTAAAAATAAGATGAAAATCTAATTTATTAGGAGAGTTCAGGAACCTCCGAACGTATCAATAGACTAAATATTCATGGATCTAAGATACTTTAACATTTTATATTTATTTTAAATTTTAAGGTATTATAAATATGAGTAATGTTTTTTTATAAATATAATATTTCTTTCCTTTCTAGTCGATGTGAAACTTAATCACTCACATTTGAATCATAACAATTTCTCTCACAAATGTGAGTCACCCACATCACTAGATTTGATACACATTAGAATTCACTTCTACTCCCTCACTATTGAAAAATACTCAAATTACACGTTAATTAAAGATAGAATTCACAAAGAGTTTATATAAAATGACATCTCTCACCTTACAGAGCAGTTTTGTAAATTTGAGTTAGGTCAAACTCTAATTTTATTTGATTAAAGAGATTATGACACCACATATCCACTAAAACACTTAAGACATTAGAGATATGAGTCTTTTCTCTTATAAACACTATTTTTTTTTTAATTTTTAAATAAAATGAGACTTAATCACTTACACTTGAAATCCATCACAATTGTTCAAGACCAACAATTTTAATAAGTGATAAAAAAAACACAATAAACTTAAACTAGTAAGAAAAAATATACTAATAAGTTAAAATAAGTTGTTTTTAACGGTTTTCTCTCTAGTTTTTGTCTTTGTTTTTTTGTTGTTTTATTTTTTAAAGATTTTTTTGGCATTTGTTTCCAGTTTTTGTAATTTTATATATTTAACTACAATGAAGTGTCATATTTCAAAAAATTAATCAAACAATTTAAAAGTGATTTCAAAAACCATAAGATAATATTTCAACTAAGAAATTTTTTAAAAGAATATACTACCGTTATAATATAGACTTATGTTGTTAACCCGTGAAAAGAAGACAATAATTTAAAAATCGAACTGATCATCAAATTAATTAAGACATAAAATCACTTGTTTATAATCAAATTGTTAGATCACTAGTTGAATCACATGACTAAATCAGATTAAATCAGATAATTCAATTTAATAAATTAGTCTTACAACAAAACTATTTAGTTATTAAATTGATCAAATCGAATGAATATATCTTTAAAAAAAAAATCACAACATCTATAAAATTTCAAAAATTTAAAATATCATAATTTCACTTTTTCTTCAAAATTCAAACTATAAAGATAATCATCACGCACAATAAAATAGTACAATATATAAATTCAAATCAATTCCGAAGAAAATTTAATTAAACATAAACCAAATAAAATATTTATAATGTTTAATAAATTTATAGTTCCAAATAAGTTTGTGTAGAAAATCTACTTATATTTTAAATTTTGAAAGAAAAAAAAAACAAAACAAAACAGTGTAATTTGTTTTTAAAAAAACAAGAATTTAATTTGACAGCTTTTCAAAACCGTTGATTCTTCGATTTTATTGATTTTGACGGGTTTTAATTAATTTTTACTAATTTAATAATTTATCCGATCCAACCATTACATTAAATCATTAAACTTTCTGATTTTTGATTTAATTGATTTGATGGTCGGTTGGATTAAGTTTTTAAAAAATTGGAAAGAGGAATGTATAATATATTTATTTGTCTATATTTATATTGGCGTGTTAAATTATGTATTTTCTTTTAAAAAAGTTACATTATTTATTTATTTATTTTTAGCAATAGTTGCGGTTGTGTTGAATATATCATCGGTATTGTGTAGTCGTGGTGAGAGTGTGTATCTTCATCTTCACCTACCGAGGCTGTATTCAATGGAGAAACTCAAATTTTCTCGGCAGGTGGAGTGGTGGCAGAAGAACATCACCTATCGTTTTCGAAGGCTTTGGGTTACCATCGCCACACGTTTTGGAATTCGTAAAACTGGTTTGTATCACGCTTTGCTTTCACTTTTGCGGAGTTTTCAATTATGCATACCATGTGTTTGTTTTATTGTTTGAATCACATGTTGTGTTATATTGCAATTTTGTTAAGGTTGATAATGATATAACAATGGTATTACTTAATTTGGACAAAAATACAGTTGTTCGTTAATCTTTATGTAGATAGTTCTTTGTGTTTCTGATTGATTTCAAATTTGAATTTTCCTAAAGGAATTGATTCTGTATACTGCGTATATGTCTGGTTTTTTGAAATTGTTGGGTTGTTGTTTGAATGTTGTAAATTTTATTGAATTGTGGTTTTAAGACTCGGGTTAGTTTTTATTTTGGGTTTAACTCATTCTTACAACACCGACTTATAAGAAGGGGACGACTTATAGACTCTAACTTTAATTTATGCAAAATTTGGGTTTATCTCACCAACCCCTCACGCCCTGAGTTTGGCGCGTCGATATAAATGGTGGGTGGCTGGATTGATAGACTGTGATTTTTAAGTGATTAATTATAGATTAGGATTTGAATGTGATTTTTAAGTGATTAATTATAGATTAGGATTTGAATGTGATATGGTTTTGAATTTATTATTATGGGAGAAGAAATTGAGGCTATGACAGAAAACTTCATTTTTCTTGTTTGTTTTAAGTCTTCGGTCTAATCAATCCCACAGCACTGTCTTGTAGGGTGAAGAGTGAAGAGTGTCTAAGTTTTATAAATCTATTTAAACCTTAGTTTATCAAATGTAGAACTTGAATTTTCTGAGTAATCCGAATTAATTATTCTGCCTTAAAAACTTGGTTTTGAAGATTATTTATCGTGATGATTTGACTATGCTTTTTAATTTAGTTTTATGATTTGAAGAATATGTAAGGAAAAGGGTTTGAATGATATTTGGAGTTAATTTGAAGTGAATGTTTTGTTTGTTGTGTTGTATTGTAATGCTTTTTATGTGTCTGAAAGTTGAAACAATGAGTTCTGAATTAGAAGAAATATGCAGGGCTGAAGAAGCTAAGAAATGATGTGAGGACTTGTGAATATGAGGATATTCGTGTGATGTGGGATATGTTGAACAGAAATGAATCATTATCAGAGTTTGGTGGTAATTCTCCAAACAAAATCAAGAAGATGCATCACTTGAAATTGTTCAAATGGGCAAGGTGTGTTGCTCCATAAACTAGTCACTCCTAATCAATCATCATGCTCTTGGGTGTCATCATGTGTGTGAGTTTATTTCTCTTCACAAAAAAACCACTATACTTTGTTTAGTGTGGTTTTTTTTTCTAAAATCAAGAATAAAGAGATTAGGGTTTCATGTAGAGCATGGTCTCTTCTCTCGTGTGAATGAGCTCAATTGTTTTGATGTTGGTGTGCAGTGTGTGTGAGTGTTGTAAATTGCGAACTACCGAATTTGATTCCTACTAATAAAAAAACTCAAATCATTTTGTAGATATCAATTGTATCCACCAACTTGATGTAGTCACCCCTTATTCTTATGGTATGAAAATAACATAGTGAATAATCAATTTAGTCCTCGAAGTCTAAGAATCAAGAATTTCGACCCTTGGAGTTAACAAAATTATAAAATGATTTCCAAAAAATTGAAAATTGTCAATCACATTAGCTCCTAAAGAATCAATTTCAAGGGAACTAAATTGTCCGACCCAAAATTACCAGTGCGATCAAGGATTTTCGGTTACAACGATCATTTTAGAATTTCGTCTATTTCAGGGTCTAAAATTTCCAACATCTACAATTTCAGGACTATGTTGGCGATTCACTTGAAAATAATGTAAAGTTATGTTGTGTGATTCATTATCTTGTTACTTTGGAGATCCGTGAATTGTGTCTCAGTTTTTACACGGTATCCCTTGGTTTTGTATCAGAAACTATCTGCATTATGCAGAAGATTTCAGAAGATTTTGGAATCAAGCATTTCTAATGATTTGATGGTTATGATTAATTGACAGTTTAAAACTCTTGTAACGCAGACAGGGTATGAGATAAATCCAAATTAAAAAGTTAAACATACAAAAAAAGATAATATGTTAAATTTTATATAAAAAATGTCTCATTAGATTGGTCTTTTTTTTCAGTGTACCTTCTAACAAAAAAAACATCATAGAACTACTATTATATTAATACAAGGGCAATTAGTTCAACAAACAAAGTTTACACTTGAAAACTCTATCAGAAAGAAGAAAAAAAACTCACGTTTCACATTCTGAATCACTTTTACTATAGTAATATTTACACAATAGTGTATACAACAACAAGCTAATTGAACTTAACCAAACTAGAAGCCAATAGTAATTATCCAAACGCGCTTCAACCATATCATCAGAAAACCAACTTGGTGTTCCTTTAGAATTTGTGTATACTTCAACTAGTGTAATCAACAATGCACTCACAAAGCTTCCAACTCCAAAAACACTAGTATACAATGCAATTCCCACTGTTCTCATATTCTTTGGAACTTCACCATAAAAGAATTCCTGCATACCAACAACTGTGAAAATATCTGAAACACCAAGAAGAATGTACTGCGGTAACAACCAGAAAATGCTTATCGGCACTATTTCTAATTGTAACCCTTCACTTCTCATTTGTCGACCGATAGCGAGCCGTTTCATTTCAACTAAAGCTGCAATAACCATTGCTATGATTGAGAGAACCATTCCGATTCCCATTCTTTGCATCATGTTTATACCTTTTTCCTGTCGTGTTATCAGCTGAGCAAACGGTATAAACACTCTGTCGTATAAAGGCATCAATAGTATTATTGACAATGTTATAGCGCTTTGGAGTGTTGCTGGTGGTATCTTGAAATTCTTACCGATGTTTCTCTTCATCGTCATGCCTTGTTTTGTGAAAAATGTTGCAGGTTGTTGGAAAATCACTGCAAACATTAGAAGCATTGCCCATATTGGCAATAGCTTAATCACAACCTTGACATTTGGTAATAGACACATGCTAATTTTTGAATCCTTGTTCATAACCTTAATGCTTTCTGAGTTTTCGCGACAAAGAGGTCTCTCTTGAAGCCTGTATCATGAGAAAAATATATTTTGCCCATAAACTATAGATAATAATTTAGTAAATCTAACTTTATGTATGTAAAGTCCCGTTAAACCAGCTCAGTTGATAACTGTGCAGGGACATCTGACTGTAAGGGTGCGGGTTCGAACCCGTAACATCCCACTTATTCACTTTAACAAGTGATGTTCCATCTACTAAGTTATTTAAACAAAAAAAAACCTTTATGCATGTGAAAGTGGAACTTACTCTAGTTCAACACCTTCAGATTTGTCATTTGGTAGTGAAATTTCACAATGGAAGCATTTCAATGCAGATGCTTTTATAGTTTGAAACATGTTCATGAAAGGCTTCTTATCTTGAAGACCATCATCATCATCATCTTGTTTTTTATATGAATAAATCGAGCTTCCGCCAGAGAAAATCAAGATAGAAAGAAGCATTGAAATTGCAGGTATTGCAAACCCTAATACCCAACCAAAAGTGTCTTGAATGTAAGACATGAATGTAACACCCATTAGGCTTCCAGCACAAACACCAAAATACCACCATTGGAAGAAAAGTGCTTTTTTGTTGCTACTCGTGTCATCTGTGCTACAAGGTAAATCTTCTTCACCAAGTTGATCAGCTCCAAAGGCTTGTAGAGATGGATTATATCCACCTTGGCCTAATGAAATTAAATAAAGAGATAATGAAAGGAATGAAGAAGACATTGTTCTATTTTTGTGATGCCATGACCTTGCTAGTGCTGTTGTTGTCAATGCTGCAAGTCCCTATGAAGAAAACACAAGAAAATGTCATTAACTTTATGAGAAAAGTTCAACTTTCAAATTATTAGTAAGAGATTTTTTTTGAGTCGACTTATTTGAGTTTATCTATTTGCATAAACATTTGTGAAACTGTTAACAAACACATAAAGCATCATTGCTTTGTATTACATTATTGGTGTTCTAAACAGTAAAGTATTGAGTCAGATACAGACACGACACCGACTTTACTATGTAGATAATGATAATAATTTTAAAAAATTTAAGTGAACACTCTAACACGTAGTAAAAGGAGTATATGCTCACCGACTTTTCCTAAACATCAATTTCTGTAGTTTTTGCTACAGAAACTCTCCAATTTGACCGGAAAACTGTAGAAAACTTTAGTCTCAGATATTCTTAAATATATGAGTGTTATGACTCAGACTCCAACAAACTTAATGGATCTCCTAATGTTTATACTATACTATATATAAAGTAGGTCATCTAAATTTTCAGCCATGTATAATATCCATAGCAGATAAAGTTTGAGCAAAACTTTATAACAAATATATTATGAAAAAAAAATTATCAGTATAAGTTTGAAATCAATTTTGACACCTGAACTTTTTTAAAAAGTATATAATATTTTTGGAAGGTGACTCACCATAACATAGAGAAAAGATGAGGACATAATGGTGGAATATTTGTCCCAATAAGCATCAGCAATAGGTGCCACTAACAATGGCATTATGGAAGTGAATCCAACCCAACTATTAACCATTTTTGCTGCTGATGAGTTGCTTAAGTTCACAACATCTGTTAGATAAGTTACCAAATTTGATGCTACCCCTTTGAATGCAAACCTCTCTATACCTGCAATGACTGTCACATAGAAGCAAAAACAAGTAAAAAATAAGTTCTTACCCTTAGATTAATATAATAGAAAATAAAAAATCACAAAGGCATGCAAGGTCGATAGAATCTTGGTTGGATTATAATTTCAAAACACACGCTACAAATGAGGACTAGGGTTTTAAATCGTGGTAACGAAATGAGGATCAGGGTTTTAAATCGTGGTAACGACGTTGTGGTGTAATTCAAGATATTGAGGAGAATCACAGATAAATGAGACTTATAAGAGTTTAATAGGGATCATAATTGTCTACAACTTGAACTCAACTGTAGCGTCTTGCATTTAGACGAAAGTCTTAATGCAAGGTAAACAATCTCAATTTATTCAGTTGCAGTCTACGGTGTATCCGTAGATACAAAAAAAAATCATAATATTGCAATTGAGATTACGGCCGTGGAAAAAAAACCCTATTAAAAGACTAGTTTTCTACATTTTTCATTTGCAATTACATGTATTCAATGGAATGGATGCTAATTTGTATTCAAGGAACTATTTTTTGTTTTTCCTTCATGCTATTAAGATGGATCATGGAATCTAAGATATACTATAAGATAAAGTTAGATACTTCATTTTTCTCATCAAAGAATATGCACATAGAATTTACCTATGAGAAGAATGCATGAATTGCTAAGCCTCTTCTGTTTGTGTCCACCAGCCATAATAAGAATAATAACAGGATACCAAACGCTTGTAGAAAAATGCAGCAACCAATATCCAAATCTGCACTATGAAATTTCCTAAATGAACCAAAAGCTAAGAAAAAATCAAAAACATAATTGGTTGTGATAACTCATGAATCATGTTTTGTTCTTTTGAAATCACTACAATTATTGTGAAGATACCAACTCAGTTTCAATTTTTAGACCTTAAGTTTAGGCTTTAAATGACCTTGAAGATTGTATAGTACATATATAGCAAGAATGTTTTGTCTCTATCACCTTAATGGGACACTAGACATTCACTTTCTTAATGCCATACCAAAAAGCATGACCAAAAAAAAGTTGCAAATGCATTTCAGTTATAGATAAATATGTAAAATATGAAAAAAGTAGAAGCCACTTTCAGTTTCAGAAATGATATATAATTACATCAGGTTGATTCTGTGAAACAAACTCTACTCTCTCTAAAGTTGTGCCTCACATGTTTGACACATGTTCATTGCTATGAATTGTTCTACTTGGAAATGTTGTGGAAATTGTGTTTATTGCGGTTATTGATCTCGACCGTTTGATTTAGATTAACAGTCGAGATTATTTAAATTCGGTGACCGTATAAATCTATATTGTACACCGCAAAATAACTTATGAATAAAAAAATTTAATCGTAAAATGTTACCTAATATGTCACGAAGATTTATCTGTTTGATACGCTCAAATCATCTAAAATACATTCTTATGAAAATATACACAATATATTTTATATAAATAAAAATTAATAATTTAGTTATAGAGATAAAAAAAAGTTGTTGGTCAAGGTAG